GTGGAAGTATACAAAAAAGAGAGCGGTCAGAAAATTAATGTGTTCTATCGCCCGACTGTCAACCGCGTAGGATTGGGAGCATTCACTGCTCAAGTCCCGAGTGGTGGACACAACAAGTACACTGATGAGAAGTTCATATAGACAATGTATCTCAAGTAGCCAAACGAAGAAGAACGATCACATCACCCACCCAAACGAATGAGTAGGCAATCACGAGAGATGAGACAGGCATGTGAATCAAACATGCAAGCACGTGCATAATCCGCAAAAATGGTCAGCTGTGTAACCTGTGCAACAATAGATACGAACTGAATCGGTTTCGCTGAGTTTTTATACTTCTGTCGATCAGATGCACGAGTTGTTTCAGTTTTGTGTTTAGCATGTTCGTGGATCTGAACAACTGGCTCATACACCGATCATCGCTCAGAGGGAGATGAGCTTTTGGGGCACTGACTATCACCCCATCCAGAAGTAACTCGGTTGGTAATGATATACCCGCGAACAAAAAGCAAGCAGTCCAGCAACTGGAAGAAAAGGAATTTCTCATTTATTCCGATGAGAATACGAATTAGATGAGGCAAATGTGGATTTGATTTCGGTAGAGTCAGTGGTTTGGACTGTCTGTGTCGGGTTATATGCACTCTGAATCGAATGCATAGGAGCGAGATGTACTTACCAGCCAGAATAGATGCCAGTGCCTTTTCACCGTGTACGAGAAATTCTTCAAACGCCGCATCCAGTTCGGCTCCCAGCTCGTTTCGATGTTGTGCGTTGGATAGAAGCAATGTGGACAACATGTAATTTTTGTACCTAACATGGAAAAAAATACCGGAGCGGGGTGAGGGTGTGTGTGTGCGTGGGTGGGTGGGTGGAGTAGACAGAAACAGGTGGGAGAGGAATGCGAGTCGTTAACGACAACAAAATTAGATTACCAGATCACCAGCTCAATGTTAGCAGACGAAAAGGATGGAAATACGGTCCACGGTCAAGCACATTGGAGTTTCGGGAAGCGGAAGAGTACGTAACATAGGGGTTAGATCAGACCTTCTACTCTTGAAATGAAGCCCAGGTGAGTAGTAACCTTTTCTGGATGATTTAGGTGTTGGTGTAGCCATGTACAACAGAAGTGCGTGGAAAGTCTTTGAACGATCGTGTGTATCCAGATCAGAATGTTCCTCAAATTAGGAGGGGGGCGGATAGTGAAAAATGTCGATAAGTTTCCCTACTCAGACTATCGAACCTCTTCGGATCGAGCATGATCGAACGAAATGATACTACTCTAACAAAAGACTCGCCTGGCGCTTTCCAAGGTTCGACACGGTTGGTGCCATGGTGACATGTAACTGTCCGGGAAAGGTTGCGGGTATGCTACAGCAATCCGGATGGTTCAATGTGTAGACATCATAGTTAAGGAAAGGGGATGACTGCAAACTATCAGTGCTCTAGCATTGTTGTCTGCGTGGCAGTGCACAAGTCTGGTGAGTCAATCGGACAATGTCGATCTCAGCAGAACTGTACGACATAACTGTGATCACGCACTAGCTCAAGTGCTTAACTCTCACAGGTCGTCGTGACTAGGTGGTGTGCTACACGTATAACCAGATGAGCCTCCTCGGATATTGCTGTTTCCAGAGGCTCGCATAGTAGTTGAGGAAAAACCCAATAGTGATCAAAGCACGGCCTCCTATGAAAACCTCCATCAAGCGATATGATCACAACGGTGACGTCAAAGTTCCAGGTTTGGGACCCCGGGATTAGATTCATAAATGATGATGACACAATGTGTCCGATTGTCGAAAACCGTGACACCCAGCCGCTTTCTACACACACAATTTATCCACATTTAATATATTAATCTCCGCTTTGTGGTTGATAAAATCGGTGACTGAACGACAAAGAAAAATAATCAGTGTATGCCAATGTACGATAGAT